AGTGCAGCGCAGCTCTTAAAGGGGCCACACCTTATTTCCACTCGTTACAGTCTGAAATAAAACAAGATGAGAAATTAAATATTTCCAGCACTTTCTGTGATGTATATGCTTGCTTATCATAGGAAGTAATAAGAAATGACTCTTTACATTAAGGCAGGAGCCTAGTGAGAACAGGGTGTTGGGGGGATCACTTTTTTTTCGCTTTTTCATCAAACCGCAATTTTTGCAAGTTCCTGCAATTTCATTGCAAAAAATTGCATAAATATCCCGCATATTCCATCGCATTTTTAAAGAAAACGGGGCCGCGAAATCAAGGATTTTTACCCGCAACAATCACAAAAAAACTGTGTTTTTCTGGAAGGACTGTATAATGGCACTGAATAGCTGTTTCTGTTTTGAAGCTAGTTATTTTATATAATAATGCACATTTATATTTATATAAAAATTTATATATATGCACTTTTATGATGGACGGATGCACTTTTATGATGGATGGATGCACTTTTATGATGGACAGATGCACTTTTATGATGGATGGATGCACTTTTATGATGGACAGATGCACTTTTATGATGGACAGATGCACTTTTATGATGGATAGATGCACTTTTATGATGGATGGATGCACTTTTATGATGGACGGATGCACTTTTATGATGGATGGATGCACTTTTATGATGGACAGATGCACTTTTATGATGGATGGATGCACTTTTATGATGGACAGATGCACTTTTATGATGGACAGATGCACTTTTATGATGGATAGATGCACTTTTATCATGGATAGATGCACTGATAGATGCACTTTTATGATGGACGGATGCACTTTTATGATGGACGGATGCACTTTTATGATGGACGGATGCACTTTTATAATGGACGGATGCACTTTTATGATGGATAGATGCACTTTTATAATGGATGGATGCACTTTTATGATGGACAGATGCACTTTTATGATGGATGGATGCACTTTTATGATGGACAGATGCACTTTTATGATGGACAGATGCACTTTTATGATGGATAGATGCACTTTTATCATGGATAGATGCACTTTTATCATGGATAGATGCACTTTTATGATGGATAGATGCACTTTTATGATGGACGGATGCACTTTTATGATAGACGGATGCACTTTTATGATGGATAGATGCACTTTTATGATGGACAGATGCACTTTTATGATGGACAGATGCACTTTTATGATGGACGGATGCACTTTTATGATAGACGGATGCACTTTTATGATAGACGGATGCACTTTTATGATGGATAGATGCACTTTTATCATGGATAGATGCACTTTTATGATGGATGGATGCACTTTTATGATAGACGGATGCACTTTTATGATGGACGGATGCACTTTTATAATGGACGGATGCACTTTTATGATGGACAGATGCACTTTTATGATGGATGGATGCACTTTTATGATAGACGGATGCACTTTTATGATGGACGGATGCACTTTTATCATGGATAGATGCACTGATAGATGCACTTTTATGATGGACGGATGCACTTTTATGATGGACGGATGCACTTTTATAATGGACGGATGCACTTTTATGATGGATAGATGCACTTTTATGATGGATGGATGCACTTTTATGATGGACAGATGCACTTTTATGATGGATGGATGCACTTTTATGATGGACAGATGCACTTTTATGATGGACAGATGCACTTTTATGATGGATAGATGCACTTTTATCATGGATAGATGCACTTTTATGATGGATAGATGCACTTTTATGATGGACGGATGCACTTTTATGATGGACAGATGCACTTTTATGATGGACGGATGCACTTTTATGATAGACGGATGCACTTTTATGATAGACGGATGCACTTTTATGATGGATAGATGCACTTTTATGATGGATAGATGCACTTTTATCATGGATAGATGCACTTTTATGATGGATGGATGCACTTTTATGATAGACGGATGCACTTTTATGATGGACGGATGCACTTTTATAATGGACGGATGCACTTTTATGATGGACAGATGCACTTTTATGATGGATGGATGCACTTTTATGATAGACGGATGCACTTTTATGATGGACGGATGCACTTTTATGATGGATGGATGCACTTTTATGATGGACAGATGCACTTTTATGATGGACAGATGCACTTTTATGATGGACGGATGCACTTTTATGATGGACGGATGCACTTTTATGATGGATAGATGCACTTTTATGATAGACGGATGCACTTTTATGATGGATAGATGCACTTTTATCATGGATAGATGCACTTTTATGATGGATGGATGCACTTTTATGATGGACGGATGCACTTTTATGATAGACGGATGCACTTTTATGATGGATAGATGCACTTTTATGATGGATAGATGCACTTTTATGATGGATAGATGCACTTTTATGATGGATGGATGCACTTTTATGATGGACGGATGCACTTTTATGATGGACGGATGCACTTTTATGATAGACGGATGCACTTTTATGATGGACGGATGCACTTTTATAATGGACGGATGCACTTTTATGATGGACGGATGCACTTTTATGATGGATGGATGCACTTTTATGATGGACAGATGCACTTTTATGATGGACAGATGCACTTTTATGATGGATAGATGCACTTTTATGATGGATGGATGCACTTTTATGATGGACGGATGCACTTTTATGATGGACGGATGCACTTTTATAATGGACGGATGCACTTTTATGATGGATAGATGCACTTTTATAATGGACAGATGCACTTTTATGATGGACAGATGCACTTTTATGATGGACAGATGCACTTTTATAATGGACGGATGCACTTTTATGATGGACAGATGCACTTTTATGATGGACGGATGCACTTTTATGATGGATAGATGCACTTTTATAATGGACAGATGCACTTTTATGATGAACAGATGCACTTTTATGATGGACAGATGCACTTTTATGGACTTAGTGCTATTATAAAGCTTGGAAGAGCCAGGACATTTTTTCATATAACTCAGATTGTATTCGTCTGAAAGAAGAAAGTCATATACACCTAGGATGAGTTCAGGGTGAGTAAATCATGGGCTAATTTTTATTTTTTGGCTGAACTATCCCTTTAACCTCGGGTCCAGATCTGTCCCCTTAATATGGACGAAAGCCTGTAGATGTGCACAGAGCACTAGATGACCCAGTTATTCAATATAAAACTGAAAATACACTGTAAAAAAAAAAATTTCTAAGCTTTCAAAAGAGTTTCCACAATGTTTAACTCAGCAAGGATGAAATAATCAAAAAGTGACAGTAAAGACATTTATATTATTACAAAAGATTTAAATGTTTCTTGAGCATCAAATCATCATATTAGAGTGATTTCTGAAGGATCATGTGACACTGAAGACTGGAGTTATGATGCTGAAAATACAGCTTTGATCACAGGAATAAATTACACTTTACTGTATATTCACACAGAAAATGTTTTTTCTTAACAATAATACTTCACAATTTTAGCCAATAAATGCAGCCTTGGTGAGCTTAAGAGACTTCTTTCAGAATATTTTTTAAATAATTATACCAACCCCAATCTTCTGAACGATAGTGTATGTACGGTATATGAATATGTATACATGTAATGTATATGTATATTTATATGCATATGTATATACACTCACCGGCCACTTTATTAGGTACACCTGTCCAACTGCTCGTTAACACTTAATTTCTAAGCAGCCAATCACATGGCGGCAACTCAGTGCATTTAGGCATGTAGACATGGTCAAGACAATCTCCTGCAGTTCAAACCGAGCATCAGTATGGGGAAGAAAGGTGATTTGAGTGACTTTGAACGTGGCATGATTGTTGGTGCCAGAAGGGCTGGTCTGAGTATTTCAGAAACTGCTAATCTACTGGGATTTTCACGCACAACCATCTCTAGGGTTTACAGAGAATGGTCCGAAAAAGAAAAAACATCCAGTGAGTGGCAGTTCTGTGGGCGGAAATGCCTTGTTGATGCCAGAGGTCAGAGGAGAATGGCCAGACTGGTTCGAGCTGATAGAAGGGCAACAGTGACTGAAATAACCACTCGTTACAACCGAGGTATGCAGCAAAGCATTTGTGAAGCCACAACACGCACAACCTTGAGGCGGATGGGCTACAACAGCAGAAGACTCCACCGGGTACCACTCATCTCCACTACAAATAGGAAAAAGAGGCTACAATTTGCAAGAGCTCACCAAAATTGAACAGTTGAAGACTGGAAAAATGTTGCCTGGTCTGATGAGTCTCGATTTCTGTTGAGACATTCAGATGTTAGAGTCAGAATTTGGCGTAAACAGAATGAGAACATGGAACCATCATGCCTTGTTACCACTGTGCAGGCTGGTGGTGGTGGTGTAATGGTGTGGGGGATGTTTTCCTGGCACACTTTAGGCCCCTTAGTGCCAATTGGGCATCGTTTAAATGCCACGGCCTACCTGAGCATTGTTTCTGACCATGTCCATCCCTTTATGGCCACCATGTACCCATCCTCTGATGGCTACTTCCACCATGTCACAAAGCTCTAATCATTTCAAATTGGTTTCTTGAACATGACAATGAGTTCACTGTACTAAAATGGCCTCCACAGTCACCAGATCTCAACCCAATAGAGCATCTTTGGGATGTGGTGGAACGGGAGATTCGCATCATGGATGTGCAGCCGACAAATCTGCGGCAACTGTGTGATGCCATCATGTCAATATGGACCAAACTCCCTGAGGAATGCTTCCAGCACCTTGTTGAATCTATGCCACGAAGAATTGAGGCAGTTCTGAAGGCAAAAGGGGGTCCAACCCGTTACTAGCATGGGGTACCTAATAAAGTGGCCGGTGAGTGTATATATGTATATGAACAGTATATGTATATGAATATGCATAAGTATCTGTATCTGTATCTGTATGGAAGGTCAGAGAGCAGTAAGGCTGGATGTGGTACAGAAGGATCAGTGGATGTATTTACCCAGGAAAGTGCCAGTGACGCCCAGAGCCATGAAGCTGCTGATGACGAACACAGATCCCAGTATGAGGAGAGCAGCTCCAGTGTAATACACCTGAGCATTATCCAGCGGCTCCCAGCGAGACTGACCCTTCATGGCCACTGTAATGCTGAGAGACACAGAGAGACAGAGAGTGAAAAACCAAAGTCCAAATATAACCTTCCAGCCTGTGTTTGTTTGGTCACGTAATACATAATGATGTGAATTAAAAAGAAGCAACGCATCCCAGCCCTATCATACCCTCGGTGCAATGTAACGTCAGGCGCGACGTATGTGTTTTGCTAGTTTCAGCCCGACGCAGTTTTCATTTTTATGTCCTGCGCCACGTTGTTTAAATAGCAAATGCATTTGCGCTCATCTGTGCGTCCATGTGCTGCTGGTCTGAGAACGAGTGTGTGTTCAGGTGCACTGTTGGTGCGTTGCTATTTTGAGGAACTGAAATAGACTTTTGTCCAACAAAAACCTGGTCTAAAGTCAATGGCGCAATATGCTTTTTGTTATTTAAAGGCACACTGTGGAACTTTTCAACCTTTATAATATATTACCAAAACCCATTGAGATGGTACATCGACTTACAATAGGTTGAATGACACGTCTGCCGTAGCCTGAAGGTGTCTGTCTCGCTTTTCCTAGCACTATGTAACTTCGGGGTTCGGGTAGGAACCCGAGCACAAAAAGAACTACAAAATTCGACCGCTTTACGGCATACGTCACTTCCCCCACCACCCACAACTTCCTCAGATTCTGACGTGAGTGCTCAACTCGCGTTTGATTGCCGTTGCCGTCTGTATGTTTTCGTCATGGCCGAACCAACAGCTACAAGGAAGAAGGCAAAGGTTTTGTCAGAGGACACTAAAAAAAGAAAAAGGCATAGTGACAAATGAAAAGCCAGGACGAGGATCACCATTGGTCCAGCGTTCGCTCGCTGGCGTGAGCTACAGGAGGAGGAGGGGTGCCCGACCGATGCTAACGCTTGCCTGCACACAAATGCCGTTTCCAAGGTGACACAGATAAATCATATAAGCAGTGTAGTATTTTCTGGTATTTCGGCCACAGCCGATGGTGTTATGAGTGTAATAAAATGCCCACAGCCCGTTGTTCATTTCTACACACAAACACAGCCCGCCACAGTGCAGGGCTCGAACAAATAAAATCGACTCATGTCAAATGTACATTAAATGTAGTGAACGTTCCCACGACTCAGTGCCCACAAACACTACACACAACATGTCCCACGGTTTCTGTAAAACGAAACCAACACACATAAGTTACAGTCAGCTCAGGACGACCGTGTTTTTAGTGCAGTAAATGTGCCCGTCCCGCCGTCCCGCGCCCACATTCACTCACAGACATGTTAGCACTAAGCCGCTCGCTCTCTCTCAGCAGACTGCTATAAGGGAATCGAGCGCGGCCAGGCTGCCCGCCTCAAAAACTGCAAGCACACACAATCTAAAGACACGGGAGGCTGACCCACTGTCTATGGGCGGACCGGTTGACTGTTTGTTGACTTTTGCGACAGTGCTGCGGAGCTTGTGGCCTCTAGGGACGCTAGACGTGAAAGTTACAGGTCGAGCGCCACTAGTGGCCAAAAGTTCCGCAGTGTGCCTTTAAAGAGCGCGTTAGTAATGTGCGCCTATAGCGGCTCCACAACGTGCGTAGACTTTGTCCTGTAGATGGTCTGTTTGCGCTTTAACCTTACACACACACACACACACACACACACAGCTTTATCCTCGCGCACGAGCAGATCTGTTTCCTCTCTAGAGACGCGTTCAGTTTTTCCGCTCGCTAATTCCGTCATGTAAATAGCAATCCGCCATGGCGCGAGCACAACTGGCTTTTAAAGGGAATGGCAGACGAGACTCTGATTGGTTTCGAGAGTGTAATATTTGGCTATTTCATATGCAAAGATGTCAGCCAATCACAGCAGTGGGCGTTTACACTGAAGTCTCACAGCCAATCACAGCAGTGGGCGTTTAGACTGAAGTCACACAGCCAATCCCAGCAGTGGGCGTTTACACTGAAGTCACACAGCCAATCACTGCAGTGGGCGTTTAGACTGAAGTCACACAGCCAATCAAAGCAGTGGGCGTTTACACTGAAGTCACACAGCCAATCACAGCAGTGGGCGTTTACACTGAAGTCACACAGCCAATCACTGCAGTGGGCGTTTAGACTGAAGTCACACAGCCAATCACAGCAGTGGGCGTTTACACTGAAGTCACACAGCCAATCACTGCAGTGGGCGTTTAGACTGAAGTCACACAGCCAATCACAGCAGTGGGCGTTTACACTGAAGTCACACAGCCAATCACAGCAGTGGGCGTTTACACTGAAGTCACACAGCCAATCACAGCAGTGGGCGTTTACACTGAAGTCACACAGCCAATCACTGCAGTGGGCGTTTAGACTGAAGTCACACAACCAATCACAGCAGTGGGCGTTTACACTGAAGTCACACAGCCAATCACTGCAGTGGGCGTTTAGACTGAAGTCACACAGCCAATCACAGCAGTGGGCGTTTACACTGAAGTCACACAGCCAATCACTGCAGTGGGCGTTTAGACTGAAGTCACACAGCCCATTTACAGCAGTGGGCGTTTACACTGAAGTCACACAGCCAATCACAGCAGTGGGCGTTTACACTGAAGTCACACAGCCAATCACAGCAGTGGGCGTTTACAGTGAAGTCACACAGCCAATCACAGCAGTGGGCGTTTACAGTGAAGTCACACAGCCAATCACAGCAGTGGGCGTTTACACTGAAGTCCCACAGCCAATCACTGCAGTGGGCGTTTAGACTGAAGTCACACAGCCAATCACAGCAGTGGGCGTTTACACTGAAGTCACACAGCCAATCACTGCAGTGGGCATTTAGACTGAAGTCACACAGCCAATCACAGCAGTGGGCGTTTACACGGAAGTCACACAGCCAATCACAGCAGTGGGCGTTTACACTGAAGTCACACAGCCAATCACAGCAGTGGGCATTTACACTGAAGTCACACAGCCAATCACTGCAGTGGGCATTTAGACTGAAGTCACACAGCCAATCACAGCAGTGGGCGTTTACACGGAAGTCACACAGCCAATCACAGCAGTGGGCGTTTACACTGAAGTCACACAGCCAATCACAGCAGTGGGCATTTACACTGAAGTCACACAGCCAATCACTGCAGTGGGCGTTTAGACTGAAGTCACACAGCCAATCACAGCAGTGGGTGCTTACACTGAAGTCACACAGCCAATCACAGCAGTGGGCGTTTAGACTGAAGTCACACAGCCAATCACAGCAGTGGGCGTTTACACTGAAGTCACACAGCCAATCACTGCAGTGGGCGTTTAGACTGAAGTCACACAGCCAATCACAGCAGTGGGCGTTTACACTGAAGTCACACAGCCAATCACTGCAGTGGGCATTTAGACTGAAGTCACACAGCCAATCACAGCAGTGGGCGTTTACACTGAAGTCACACAGCCAATCACAGCAGTGGGCGTTTACACTGAAGTCACACAGCCAATCACAGCAGTGGGCGTTTACACTGAAGTCACACAGCCAATCACAGCAGTGGGCGTTTACACTGAAGTCACACAGCCAATCACTGCAGTGGGCGTTTAGACTGAAGTCACACAGCCAATCACAGCAGTGGGCGCTTACACTGAAGTCACACAGCCAATCACAGCAGTGGGCGTTTACACTGAAGTCACACAGCCAATCACTGCAGTGGGCGTTTACACTGAAGTCACACAGCCAATCACAGCAGTGGGCGTTTAGACTGAAGTCACACAGCCAATCACTGCAGTGGGCGTTTAGACTGAAGTCACACAGCCAATCACAGCAGTGGGCGTTTACACTGAAGTCACACAGCCAATCACTGCAATGGGCATTTAGACTGAAGTCACACAGCCAATCACAGCAGTGGGCGTTTACACTGAAGTCACACAGCCAATCACTGCAGTGGGCGTTTAGACTGAAGTCACACAGCCAATCACTGCAGTGGGCGTTTACACTGAAGTCACACAGCCAATCACAGCAGTGGGCGTTTACACTGAAGTCACACAGCCAATCACAGCAGTGGGCGTTTACACTGAAGTCACACAGCCAATCACTGCAGTGGGCGTTTAGACTGAAGTCACACAGCCAATCACAGCAGTGGGCGTTTACACTGAAGTCACACAGCCAATCACTGCAGTGGGCGTTTAGACTGAAGTCACACAGCCAATCACAGCAGTGGGCGTTTACACTGAAGTCACACAGCCAATCACTGCAGTGGGCGTTTACACTGAAGTCACACAGCCAATCACTGCAGTGGGCGTTTACACTGAAGTCACACAGCCAATCACAGCAGTGGGCGTTTACACTGAAGTCACACAGCCAATCACTGCAGTGGGCGTTTACACTGAAGTCACACAGCCAATCACTGCAGTGGGCGTTTACACTGAAGTCTCACAGCCAATCACAGCAGTGGGCGTTTACACTGAAGTCTCACAGCCAATCACAGCAGTGGGCGTTTACACTGAAGTCTCACAGCCAATCACAGCAGTGGGCGTTTACACTGAAGTTACACAGCCAATCACAGCAGTGGGCGTTTACACTGAAGTCACACAGCCAATCACTGCAGTGGGCGTTTAGACTGAAGTCTCACAGCCAATCACAGCAGTGGGCGTTTACACTGAAGTCTCACAGCCAATCACAGCAGTGGGCGTTTACACTGAAGTCACACAGCCAATCACTGCAGTGGGCGTTTAGACTGAAGTCACACAGCCAATCACAGCAGTGGGCGTTTACACTGAAGTCACACAGCCAATCACTGCAGTGGGCGTTTACACTGAAGTCACACAGCCAATCACAGCAGTGGGCGTTTACACTGAAGTCACACAGCCAATCACAGCAGTGGGCGTTTACACTGAAGTCACACAGCCAATCACAGCAGTGGGCGTTTACACTGAAGTCTCACAGCCAATCACTGCAGTGGGCGTTTACACTGAAGTCTCACAGCCAATCACAGCAGTGGGCGTTTACACTGAAGTCACACAGCCAATCACAGCAGTGGGCGTTTAGACTGAAGTCTCACAGCCAATCACAGCAGTGGGCGTTTACACTGAAGT